TATGCACAGCAGAACAAAACCCTGCCCGATCCTGGGCCAACCTCCCTATTGTTGCCACGCTTGAGTCCATCGATACTACCACTTGGCCAATCCATCTCCTTGGGGGTCTTCCTCTTTTTCTCTGACCCTCCACCTTGCCAAGCATGATATTCTTCTCCAGCGACTGGTCCCTCCTGACAATATGTCTGAAGTATGAGAGATGAAATTTGGCCATCTTGGCCTCCAAGGAGCACTCTGGCTACACTTCTTCCAAAACAGATCTACTGGTTCTTTTGGCAGCCATGGCACTTTCAATATTCTCCTCCAACACCAGAACTCAAGATTAGTTGTTGTTGTTATGTGCCATGCAGTCAGTTCCAACTCATAGTGACCATGTACAGGGTTTCCAACGCTTTCAATCCTTACAGGAGCAGAAAGCCTCATCTTTCTCCTGCACAATAGCTGGTAGTTTCGAACTGCTAATCTTAAGGTTCACAGCCCGATTTATAACCACTACGGTAGGTACTTAAAAAAAAGGCGGGGGTGGGAGGGGTTAAAATAATTTATTTCCTGGATTATGTCCATAAAAACCACATTCTAATCTGAAAACAAAACAAAAAACCCACCCGTATCTGGAAACACGAGAGGAGGGGTTTGGGGAGTATGTTGAAGCAACACTGATAAGAAATTAAGGGAGCCAGATGGTGCAGTGGTCAAAATGCTTAGCAGCTAACCAAAACGTCAACCCACTACCCATACTAGCCACTCTATGGGAAAAAGATGTGGCAGCGGTCTGCTTCCATAACCACGGGCAGCCTGGGAACCCTATGGGCCAGTCCTACTCTGTCCTACAGGGTCACTCTGAGGCAGAATCCACAAGACAGCAGTGGCTTATTAAGAACTCCACAGAGCCCCAGTGCGAGAGGTCAGCAGCTCAAACCCACCAGCCATTCTGCTGGAGAAAGAAGAGATGAGCAGCCTTCAAAACCCAATGGGGCAGTTCTACTTCATCCTTACAGGGTTGCTATGGGTCAGAACTGACTAGATGGTAACTGGTACTCCCATTTTACTAACTGATCATTTGACCTTGGAGACCAATCACTTCCTCTCTCAGTGTTTTCTTTTTTAAAAGGGAGGTAATAACTGGTAGGAGGGTTAAATGTGATCTTGCATACCATGTGCCTCCAACCAGCCTAATACGAGCACAATTAATGGGCAGAACTTGCTTGGATATTAACTAACCAAGCCGGCCTTCATTTGTCATGCTGGACTCTCTCACGTTCATGGAGCCCTAAGTATTCCCCACTCTGGGCCCTGAAATGGGGAGACTCTCCTCCATGTCCCCATCTCCCAGAGCAGTCTGGGGATGCCTGCCTGCTCCCTTCCCTGGGGACACCCTGTCTTTTCCCAGTCACTTACTCATGACTTCCAAATGTCACGAGTAAAATGGCACACATCAATGTGCTCTGGTTGCTGAATAAGCAAAGCATTGGTGTTTTGCTTGGAAAACACTCACAAACCAGGATGACGCGTTGGCAGAATACCAGTTAATCCATCCAAGCCTTCCAAAGGCAGCCAATCACTGTGTGCCAGCCAAGCCATGATACCCACTGTTAGGTGGTACTGTTCACCCCAGCAGGTGAACCCCAGAAGCAAACTCTGTCTCTTTTCTCCACGTACGCTGACCCTAGAGTGCTAATCAGAGAGATTTAACTAAAAGCATGAACATCTGGGCAGCATACACTCTGCAAAGGAACAGAGCAAAAGAGAGAGTATGGTTTCATTTGGGGCTCCAAGCTCAGAGGTGGCATACAGTTGTGCACAGAGAATTATGTAAGGTCATTAGGAAACCTCAGGACTTGAAAAGGTCACACATATAAGCAAGGAAGCACTTAACTAGAATTAGGAAGAGACTCAAAAAAAGAATTCCAAGCCTCCCAAATTAATTCACCATTCCCGAATTTCCACGTCACCAAAAAGTACCCAAAAGTTTTCTTCCTAAGAAGAACCACAAAACAACACAGTAGTGTTCATGAAATTTCCGAGCATCTCATTTGTGAAACATATGCCAACAAGACTTTGTGGTTTACCCAAAACTTTCTTGTATTTTGGGGCAATAATCATAAGCCTCACATTTTCTAAGAATTGAATTCAGATCCACTTACATATAGGTATTATAATATACTCCTTCTCTATATGTAAACTAGGGCAATTATCCATCAATTAGACACTGAAAGATACACTTACATTTATGTAAAAGCCAGCCACTCCAAGAGTCCAACCTCCAACCTCAAGATTCAAGGACTGAAAGATGCAAACCAGGGACAATGACTTCCTGACCAGGACTATACTCAAGTTGAGAAAAAAAATTACAAAATTACAGTGGCATCCTGAACAAAGCACTTGCTATTATGTTTTTGAGAACATGAGTATCATCAAAGTACTCAAACATGACATTTTTGAGCTAGTGTGGTTCAATTTCTTCTCAAGTTCAATGGCTACCACACTGGCCATGGGAGAACCTATACAAAATAGGTGAACTCACAAAATAATCAGCTATATGTGGCATTCACTTTCAATTGCAGTTACCCTAAACGTAGATCAAGAAGCCCTGGTCAGTGGTAGAAAAACTGTGGCAGTCTGCTGCCATAACCCCCTGGGGCTTACAGGGGCCTGATGAGTCAGAATTGACTGGATGGCAATGGCTTTGGTTGGTTTGGTTAAACTAAGACCAAGAGCAGCTGCATGTAATTTACATTAACCCAATCTTGTGGTGTGTTGCAAAAAATGCACAGTATCCCCTACCAACTGTCTGTCTTATCAGAGCCAGCACAAACAGAATACAGTCACACTATCTGAATGAGCAGAAAGGGAAAGTTAAAATAACTGACAGCTCTATTAGCCGGCACAGAACTGATAGAAGGGAAACATCCACTCTACCTAGTCAATGTCACATTCTTTACAATTAGTAAAGAAAAAGGATGTATAATGATCTTTCAGCATGCTCCCATTTATCACAATTACGTGAAGGGCAGACCCATCACGAGCTGAATGCCTGGCAACTCAAATTTAATTCCAGACACTAAACGTCAGACTAGTCCAACAGACTGAAAGAATCATTTACCTCGGGTTTTCCAACAAACCTAAAGACGAGGTATTTCTCCATCCATTTCAAAATTCAGTTCAATTACCCAACTCTGACTCCAAAGTGAACTCCAAAAGCAACCCTAACAGAGAATATGAAACAGTCGGACCAATTCATAGCATCAGGCAGGGCTGACAGACCCTGACTCTAACAGAAGACCCCCACCCACACCCCCACCCCGGTCCCCAAAATGAGTCAGCTCCAGTGGTTGGAATACCTTCTGCGTGTAACCTAGGCAGGAAGGGCATCCAAGGCTGTACCAAGAGCTGTCTGCTCACAGAAGCCGAGGCCTCCCAATCTCACAGAGGCCTGGCTGGCCATGGGCGCTCGCTCCCTAAACCTCAAATACACACAAGGAAAACCATCTCCTCTCTAACTTCACCCTCGGCGGGCTTGTGCGTCTGACAGGGGTTTGGCTAGTCTGGAGGGGAGCGGTGTCTGATGGCGCTTAGAGACCGGGCTCAGCTCCAGGGCAAGTGTCCTATTTTAACGGAGACTTCAGCTCAATAGCCTCCTGGCGGATCCTTACCCACCCCGCCCAATCACTAACTCGCCTTGTCCTTGGCACCCTGTCCCGAGAGCCCCCTAATGTCATGCAAAAGAGCCTCTATGAAGAGCTGTTCTTCCAGGGGCCTCCCTTTAGGGCTGGCCAGCTTTTCCGGGCAGCATCTCCCGAGGGCTCCCGGAAACCGGTCCTGCAGGCGCAGCAGCGCTGACCCCGGACAGACCCGGTTGCACAGGCCTCTCTGTCCACCCCGCTTTCCCCACTGGCGCCTGGAGAGAAGCAAGCCCGGGGGGTAGAGAGGGCGATCCGTGGATATTTCCACCAGTCCTTGCCTCCGCAGCCAAGTCTCCGTGGCGGGGCCACTCTCAGAGACGCACCCACTGCCCATCTCCCAGTCCCTTGCTGGTGACCTTGGCCACGTAGCTTCGGCCGTCTGCCCTAGGTGGCCAGACACCACCTCCTTCGCGGGTTACGAGAGAGAGGGTCACGATGATGTGGACAGTGGCCGGCTGCCGGGCACCCGGCTAGGGCGCAGGGCAAGGGAGAGGGCCGTCCTGGACTGCCTTCCAGCCGGGGGAGCCGGAGTCCGAGCCTCGGGAGGACTCGCACGTTCGGGGGTCTCCGCGGGGGTAGGGGCGCGGCCCCACCTACCTCCTCCAGCAGCGTGACGGTGTTCCTGCAGTTGTGCAGCCGCGTGGTGAAGCTGGACGTGGTGGGCGAGTTGTAGTCCTCGGTGGTCTCGGCGATGAACTCGGACACGGAGATCTGGTCCGGCATCCTGCCGGGGAGACGAGACACAAGCGGGGGTGGGAGTGAGGCGGCGCAGGCTCCCGGGGCCGCGGGCGGCTCATGAACGCCCGCCGCCGGCCTGGCGCGGCTCCTTCCCTTCAAACTCCGAGCGCCGCGCAACGCAGGGGGCTCTTGGGGACCCGCCTCCCGGCGCTCATGCCGGCTGCGCGGCGACTGCGACTCCTCGGCGGCGGGGAAGAGGGCGGCTGGGGTTGAAGGCTCGGAGCTGCCGGCACTGCCTCCAGAGAAGCTCTGACAGGCAGTGGCGAGGGCCTGACTGGCTGAGCGCTCCTCACTCAGCGGGCAGGCGAGCCAGCGAACGGGCGGGCTGGCGGGCAGGCTGCGCTCGCGCTACAGTCACGGGAACAAACAAGGAAGTGCTCTGCGCACGCGCGCCCCCTCTAAGACGCCCGCGCACCGCCCCTGGCGCCATCCGGCCCCGCCCCCACCGCCCGCGCACCGCCCGCGCACCGCCCCCGGCCCGGTCAGCCACGCCCCCGCCGCGCACGGGTTCCTGAGCCACGTTCCAAAGCGGGGGCTGAGCGCGCGGCTCGTAGGGCGCCGGAAGCCCGCTTCCCCGTGGCCACCCCCGTAGCGGTTACTTCAGCGAGCTCGTTACGCGAGCGTTTTGTAAGAAAGGGGACCAAAAAAGTTGTACGTGTTTTTTTAGTTCCGTGTGGGTGCAGGAAGCGAGACCAGGAGAGATGCCTCCTGATGCGCGGGCGCCGGCCAAGCCGAGGGGGCTCGGGGCTCAGAGCAGGCGGGACGCCCGGGCTTGCAGCTACCCGCTCGTCCGCCCGCCCTCCGCTTGGCGCGCGCCGCTGCACATAAGTTCCGAGCACTTTGCTTAGTGTCTAAACTGCAAGTCAAGACAAATGAAAGGTTGTTGGATTTTTGCAATTTTATAATCTTTCACTGACACTTCAGGGAAAAACAAAGTGCAAATGGTGTCCAACGCTAAGTCACACAGTTCAATGGAAAAAACACCAAAGTATTGCTCATCCCTTGGCCAGGCAGATGGCTAGTGTTTAACCAGCTCTTATCTACTTGCTCCTAAGAATCCATTTAACTTCTCACCATCGATTACGAATGAAATTGGTTTTGAAAAGAAAAGAGGTTCGGCCTTTGGGAATCACCAAATGGGAGCTTATCCTTCCCAGCTCATCTCTAATGTGCATAGTAAGGGTACAAGACTGGCTGCTTCTGCTGCCTCCCTTAAGTTAGAGCTCCTGCCATCTTGATCCACTGTTTGCTGGTCTGTAACCCAACTACCACAAAGTGCCCCCAAGGCAGGGATCTTGTCTTGCACTCTGGGCCTGGCACAAACAGGTAGCCCAATGACTTAAATGAAAGGCAGCGCCTCATTTACCTTCAACAGATACTAACTATAATCACCTACTATGTGTCCCGAGGACACGGTAATGGCTATGCCCTGGTTCCCAAGGAACTGACCACCTACCAGCAAACAGAAAAATATAGAGCGGAGTATGGAGAGAGAGAAAGGGGCATTGCCAATCCATTTGACAGAAACCCTGATTCAATTCCCAGTTAATGCACCTAAGTACAGCTACCACCCCTGTCAGCAGAGGCTTGCATGTTGCTATTTTGGGGAATAGGTTTCACAGAACTTCCAGACTACGATGGACTATGAAGAAAGGCCTGATGATCTCCGTCCAAACACCAGCCAATGAAAATTCTGTGGAGCATGATGGTTTGGTCTGAGCCACAGTCTATCATGAGGGTTTTCTTTATAACTGCCAATAACGTGACTGTGGAGCTGATCCTATAAAGGTCTTTCAGATGTGTTGACTTCCGGAGCAGAGACGACAATAAAGGAAAGTGAGCACAAAGATATCCTGTTGGCTATGTCATTTTGGTCTTCAGTTGCCTCACAGGACGATGAAAGATAAAGGCCCCAATCCCATGAGGCTGTTCTGTGAGTTAAATGAGACTCAGTGAGACATCACTTTGAGCACTAGGCAATCACTATGGAACCACAAATGTTCTACCCCCAGTATGGCTGCACAGAGCCTGTACTGTGTCTCCAATGATGTCCCCATCAGTGTTTTTCAGGTAGGGCAAGAGTTTCTGTTAACTAAAGGAGAAATCTTTAAAGGGACTGGGCATGCATCAATAATCCTCCTTGGCTACGTGAAGTTTTGATACATGAATTTGGAGAGGGAATTAAAAAAAAAAACAAAAAAAAAACTTAATAAACCAGCACCCACTTTTTCCTCATTAGCACTTTAAATGTTTAGTGTGGGAAACAAGTTGGTGGTTTTAGAGAGATGTCCAGTAGAGAACACAGACAGTGGAAACCCAGAACCTGGAGGTCACTTGCTAGTGTTTGGGGATTGACAGACCATGAGCTTTTGGATTCTGAGCTGCCCTAAAGAAAACCCTCTCTTTCCCCACATACTCACAAGGCTACCCTGCATCTGGAATGCTCTGTGACTTGAAGCAAATATGATACTAGAAGGAGCCCTGGTGGTGTCGTGGGTTTCATTTGGGGCTGCTAATCAATAATCTCATAAGCATGTGAAAGCTGGATAGTGAATAAGGGAGACCATAGAAGAATTGACGCTTTTGAGATATGGTGTTGGAGAATACTGAAAGTGCCATGGGCTGCCTAAAGAACCAATAGATCTGTTTTGAAAGAAGTGCAGTCAGAGTGCTCCTTGGAGGCCAAGATGGCCAAACTTCATCTCTCATATTTGATCATACTGTTAGGAGGGACCAGTAGCTGGAGAAGGACATCATGTTTGGTAAGATGGAGGGTCAGAGGAAAAGAGGAAGACCCCCAGTGAGATGGACTGGCCAAGTGGCAGCATCAATGGACTCAAGCATGGCAACAGTAGTGAGGTTGGCCCAGGATCGGGCAGTGTTTTCGTTCTGTTGTGCATAAAGTCGCTATGAGTCAGTACCGACTCGTTGGCACCTAACAACAACAATCACAAGGTCAGCAATTTGAATCCATCATCTGCTCCCCAGGAGAAAGATGAGGCTTTCTGCTCCGGTAAAGATTTACAGCCTCAGAAACCCTACATATAAATCAACTGACTGGCCAGCAATGGGATGGGAGTTCCAGTACGAGTATGAATCTAGGAGAACTGGAAGTTGTCAAAATCAAAATGCAACACATAAAGATCAGTATCCTAGGAATTAGTGAGCTTAAGTGGACTGTTACTGGCCATTCTGAATTGGACAATCATATGGCTTTCTATGCTAGGACTGATAGCAACCAGTTAGACCAGCAGGCAGTGGTAAAGAGCCAGGGATTTGTCTCTTGACTAAATCCACAAGAGCCCAAACTACTGCCATCAATTGCTGTTTCAGTTTCTTTTGAAGATTACATTGTGTATTTGCTCCTCCCTGTCCCCTTCAGCCAAGAAAGGAATCCATGAACAATAAGATACTGTGCCGTGGTAAGTATATACCTCCTCAGACTTGGTCTGCAATTAGAATCTTCATGGCTCACACCTCTGCTCACCATGGGGTTCATGTTCGCATAATCCTCTTTAAATCTGAAACCATACCCCAGTGCAAACCATCTGTACCTTTCATTTTCTCAAATATGCTGAAAACTATTCCTGGAGATCAGTGAATGGATCAAGTCTAACTTGGAGAGAACTTACATGCTGGATAATTTCTCTGTATGGAACTGCACAGAAATACACATCTTTCTGGAGCCAGGAAACATGCATATGCACACATTCATATATACTTGTGCATTCTCGGCTATATATAAAGCAAGCATCATCTTTGCTGTTGTTATAATCCCCTGGTTACTTGGGCTTGCTTCTTACTGAGCTCTGCTGAGTGGGCCCCGGGAAGAATAGGAGGAGAGTATGCTTGGTATGACATGGACCTGGGTTTGAATCTCTACTCTGTTACTTAGTCATGTTTTCTCATCTGCAAAATTAGGGTAATAATAAAACTTTACCACATGTTGTTATGTGAAATGTGATGAGACAATGAGGGTTTGACAGCTGACGCATAGTGAATACTCAACTAATGTCCATTCCCTTTGAATTCTCTTTATGAGGTACGACTATAAATCCATTTCCTTCCTTCCACAACTCAGTGATCTCTAAATTAGTCAACCGGAGGAGGGACGTAGGGGGATGGGGCTGCACAAGAATTCACAATGTCTGAGAACAGACTGCAGCACAGTCTTCAGAAATCAAAAGCAACAACAGAAAACAAACCCACTGTCTTGGAGTTGATTCTGACTCATAACGGCCCTGTATGAGTATAACAGTTTTCTGTTGATGTTCTTAAGTGCCATTGAGTCAGTTCCAACTCAGTGACCCTATAGGCTGGTGGATCTAAACCACTAACCTTGTGGTTAGCAGTCCAGTGTTTACCCTAGAGTGCCACACTCCAGTAAATATCCTTCCGGAGGTCAGCTCTATCAGTGATGGTTTGAATTTTGGAAGTAAATAAATGGTATTGAGAGAGGACACACTTTGTTCATATTATCAGGAGGGAATGGTCCCGGGAGAAGGACATCATGCTTGATAAAGTGGAGGGTCAGAGAGAAAGCGGGAGCCCCTCAATGGAGTGGAATGACACAGTGGGTACAACAATGAGCTCAAAGAGCAACCCCTGTAAAGATGGCATGGGCCTGGCAGTGGTTTGCTCTGTGGTACATACAATCACGATGAGTTAGCACCAACAGTGGCAGCAGCTAATTCTAACAACAACACAATCCAGTAGGATGGATGTCAACTGGGATCAGAAATGAGTGGAAAACACACAGTCATGAGGTCGGTTTTACACTGAGGTGCAATCCATAACGAAGGTTGTGCTCTTTGATCTTCATCAGTAAGTATTTTAAGTTCTCTTCACTTTCAGTAAGAAAGGTTGCATCATCTGCATATCGCAGGTTGTTAATGAATCTTCCTCCAATCCTAATGCCCCATTTTTCTTCATATAACCCAGCTTCTCTCATTATTTGTTCA